TGGGCCGGCGGGCGGAGCTGCCCCAGGGCGCGCCGCGGCTGGTGTCCGGGAGTCCGAGCGCGCCTGGCCGCGGCAGCCTGCCCTGGCCGCCCGGGCTGGCCGTGAACGGGAGGCGCCCGGCTGCCGGCTGTGGGAGCTTTCCCTGACCCCGGCTGCCAGCGGCCCGCCCTCAGCACAATGCCATCGCCGTGAAATCATCCGCGCCCCCCGGCTGGGCGCTTCCCCGGCCCCCAATGCTGCGGGGAGGCCAGACCTGATTTGGAGCCTTTCCTTTTACTGCCTGTGTAGGACTCAAACGGGGCTTACCTGCCAGGGAGCGCAGCTGGCCCTCTGAAATCCGGGATCCCCGAGGCTGGGACCCGGCCCGGGCACCGCAGGCAGTCGGAGTCTGGTGGTAGAAACAAACCAAAACAGAGAAAAGAAACTGCTGTGGGGTGTAGTGCCGCTTCCCCCACACCCTCTGCACAGGTGGAGCAGCAGGCGGGGTTTGGCTCCGGCCCAGGCAAGCAGCTTGTTTCTGGGTATTCACAGCGATCAGGTTCATAGGGAATGACATTTTAAAAATGACCATGTCTCTTTGCTGGGAGCTGTGGGATGTTTCTAGTCTAAGGAGGAGGAATATTGTGAACACGGTGAAAAGCCAAATACCACAGCAGGAAAAATGCTGACTTTTTTCAGTTGTGCTCTAATAAAAGAAAACAAGAACAAGGAATGGCCCCAGTGCAATTTGACTGGATGAGGTGGATTAGATGCCCAGTTCTGTCATGTCCCTTTGAAAAATTCAGCCTTTATTTATCCAGTTGCAGCATACTCTAGGAATTTTAGGGGCCTAGTCAACTGCCATGGATATTAAAGGGCGCTGGAGTAGCCCCTTCCCAAGGAATAGTAACATCAGAATGGCTGTTTTGTCAGGTTCCCCCCCGTATTTTGCGGTTTCTGTTATGTGACATAGTGCCCCATAGAACTGGCTGCCAGACATACCGAACATGCGGCATACAATATAAAGATCCAGGTTACATTCCAGGAGAACGTGCGGATGTAATAGCTGTACAGTGTGGGTGTTAAATGGCAGAAAAAGAGCAAGTGGAAAAACATCAGTTTAAAAACTGTCTCTGAACGCTGCTGAGAGACACAACCTAACTTCAGAGCTGAAAGCTTCTAACCCAGCAGGTTGGAGAGAGACTGATAAACGGACCCTCGGCCGAAACGAAAACATGAGCCCGGGCCTGTGGTCACTTGGTGCTGAGACTATTATTAGCAGCTCGCTCATTAGGCCAGTCAGTTTTCTGTCAGGGACTATGTTGATCTGGGCATAAACAACTGTCCTTTTATTAAGTAACGAGGTTTGGGATATAGATCCGGGAGGCTTATTCTACTGACATTCTCATTCTATAAACAAACTTTGCCAGGCTGTAATTGTTGGGTTAGCTTCATACTTTTAATAGAGGCACTGGACCGTTTCTAGCCCCATACAGTAGAAATTCTGGAGCAGAACAACAGCCAGTTATACTTTTTTCACAGAAAACCCAGAGCCAGATCCTTGGCGTGGTGTGAAGTGATGTAGCTGTACTGACTTCAATGACGCTCTACTGATTTACAGCTGCTGAGGAACTGGCCCCTAATTTCACTATTTGTTTGGGGTTACATTGAGTGACCCTAGCACTGGGTCCTCTGAGGTGTGGTTGCGCTGCTCAGGGCAGGTTTGAAGCCTCAGTTTTAGCAGAACAACCAGGAGTCTGGTGGCACCTTAAAGACTAACAGATTTATTTGGGCATAAGCTTTCATGGGTAAAAAACCCACTTCTTCAGATGCATGGACCACTTGTAGATGCTGATATTATAGCCCCAAGATTCTGAGAGTTCCTATGCACATTCACACAGCAGAAAATTATTTTTCATAATTGCTGTCTCTTCTCTACAGCATTTACTTATGAAAATAAAGGAGGGTCCCAGACAGGCCCACGGTAACCGTTGCTGTACCTATTTCTTTTTCAGCATGGAAAGGTGGTCAAGCAAACAACTGAGTATTTTTCACTTACAGCAAAGGGAGAGTGATTTCCATCAGTCCTGTGAGCCCAGCATCAGCTCCCCGTTCCCACCTCCACCAGGAGCAAGCAGGGACCCAGCTAGGAACGCACATCAAAAATGTCTGTGCTCCAGGCAGCACATGCCTCACGGGCACACATCAGTGAGACCATTAAAACACATGAACATTGAGATCACCCCATGGGCTCTGCTCCGGGCAGACAGGGGTAGCAAAATCACAAAAGCAGGCAGGGAGTCTAGTCTCCCTCATACCTGACACTGTTCACTTACTCTGGGTCTTGTATTCCTTTGGTTCTTGGTATTTTTGGTAGAGATTGACAAATGACAAGCACTTGAGGGGTGATTTGTACCCACAATAATGGTTCTAGGAAATCTGGCATGCGGCCACGTCCATCAAAGAAAACACCTTCCAGCAGTCTCTGCATAAGCAGGGGTGAAGTGAGCGTTCCATTATAAGCCTGATTTTGACAGCCCTTCCCCCACTCTTCACACAGCACACAGTCAACCTGTGGAACTCCTTGCCTGAGGAGGTTGTGAAGGCTAGGATTATAACAGGGTTTAAAAGAGAACTAGATAAATTCATGGAGGTTAAGTCCATTAATGGCTATTAGCCAGGATGGGTAAGGAATGGTGTCCCTAGCCTCTGTTTGTCAGAGGGTGGAGATGGATGGCAGGAGAGAGATCACTTGATCATTGCCTGTTAGGTTCACTCCCTCTGGGGCACCTGGCATTGGCCACTGTCGGTAGAAAGGATACTGGGCTGGATGGACCTTTGGTCTGACCCAGTACGGCTGTTCTTATGTTCACTAATTTGGTGAAAACTGAAACAATCTGTCTGGAATTCCATATACATTATCTGATGACAGGTTGGAATTTTTTTTTTATGGTGCACCAGACTTCAAAACACTTTGGGTTACCAAACCTAGATTTACTTTAACCCACCTTGTTGAGACCTGGCGCCTTTGGCTATCTGGGGAGGGTTTCTTAGCAGAATCGTTTAGCTAAAAGCAGTTGAAACATGCATAAAGTGATGCAGAGTCCACATGCTGCCTTGTGGAGAGTGTAAGAAGTTTGCAAAAGATGGACGCTTACTTCCAAAACTGTGCAACGCTCCCAGGCACATCCTAAGTAACCCACATGGGGGGCAGGAGTTCTTTCTGAAGCCTCTCAGAGGAGCAAGACCCTGCTCCATCCTAAGTTGCATAGCTGTTTTTGTCTAGTTTAAGTGTTTCTAAACCACGTCCTATCACAGTGGCCTATAGGCACAGGTATGTGTTTAAAGAAGTCTGCCACTAACAGAAATACAGGTGCCTGACTGGAGCTGAACCAGCAAAAAACTGGAGAAAGACAGTGGTGAGAGAGAGAGAGAGAGAGAGAGAGATTCTCCTTCCTGCTGCCATAATGCCACTAATTTAGGTTTAAACGTATGAAGGTTTAATCAGAGGAAAAGTTAACTGCAGGCACATGGATGGGTGGCATTGTACAGGCTCAGGACCATTAATGTTACACTTGGAAAGGCAACAGAGTCCAGCGAAAGAAGACATAAACAACAGCATGGTCTCATGCCGTGAACACCGTGACCCAGGATCTCTTTCTCCACTGAACACACAGTTAAAACCCCTGATCTGTTTAGAGCTAATTATAGGCCCCGCAGCAGGTGTTCTGTGGAGGTCTGGGACCTTAGCAGTATCGCCTGGTTCCCTTTTGCTTGTATTTTAACCCCCTCTCTACCCATTTGTGGTGAGGCGGAGCTGAGGATGACTCAGAGCTGACAGGTGTCCCAGTCACTAACCCGTTATAGAGCAGCACGAGAGCCAGTGGATTGCTCTCTCCTTTCCCTGTAGTGTGGAGGCTGTGGGCAATTCCCAAAATACCTAGCTGCTGCTGCTGCTGGCCACGGCGCAAACATGGAAACTGAATCCCTCTGTTCAACATGAAACCTAATAGCTGGTTCCCTTGGTGTAGGACCGAAGAGGGATCTGTTAGAGAGAATCTACCTCCCTGCCATGAAATGCAGGTATTTCCCCACTCAGTGCTCGTCTGCTTTTTCCTCTCATGCTGTTACCGTGCCACGTGAGGATACATGCTGGATCAGACTGTTACTTTTCAGCTCGTGTGCCCCCATCCAACTGTGTGAGTGCACGTTCCAAACAACTGGAGAAGTATCACCAACCCCAGGCGGTCAAACGTCCTGAGTCAGGTCACTGAAAATCATGAGATTTTAAAATAATAATAATACAGTTTGGGTTGTTTTTATTTGCCTGCTGGTTTTTGAGCTTTCGGAGGGTTCACAATTTCAAAGTTTTTCCTTGCAACCAGCAGGGCTAGAAATTTACTTTTATTTTTTAAATGGAAACAGAGATTCTCACGTAATCTCATAAATCCTGGAGCTGGGGCTTTGTGAAAAGAAATCACAGACTCATGATAGATCCCTGAGAGCTGGGAACACTGTCGGGGGTAGACGCCTTTACTGATGTCAGATTAAACGAACTCAGACCCCTAATGAGCGTGACTCCTCATTTATCACCCCACTTTCAGGCCTTTATCATTGCTGTGCCTCAGTTTTTCCATCTGTAAAATGCAGAGTTGCAGGGACAATGAATTCATTAATGGTTGTACAACATCTTACAGTCCTCAGGGGGGGGTGGCTGCTGGCGAATTGCTGATGTCCCAAGGGCTTCATTGTGCCTTGGAGGCACTGGGCCCTATGGGGGGCAGTGCAGAACTGCAGCACTGTCCCAGAGGTAGCAGTGAACTGGATTACACTCCAGGGAACCTGGCACAGTGGGGGTCAGATCCATGGCCCTGCCTCCTCCTTACCCCCTGTGGGGCAATGTATGTCTCAGGGGGCAGGGGACTGGGGAGGACTGTGTGAAAGCCCCTTGTGAGGGGCATGCCAAGGGTGGGATCTCTGGGCAGCACCCGGCTTTCTGTGCTATACCAGAGGCTAGACATCTCTCTGCCCTTAGAATCATAGAATATCAGGGTTGGAAGGGACCTCAGGAGATCATCTAGTCCAACCCCCTGCTCAAAGCAGGACCCATCCCCACTAAATCATCCTTGAGATGCGTATGACTAGTGCAGATACATGGTCCAATCCCTACAGCCATTTTCACGTACAGCCAAAGTCTGCTGTCAGGGACATCGCTGTTGATAAGGACTGCTTTCCATTCACTTAATCCAGATATGCACCCGTATAACTGCGAGCAGTAATTGGCCCTTAATTAAATTCAGGTCCCAAGCAGCATTAGGTGCAGTTATTAAATTAATCCTCTATAACCGTGGCTTCACAGGAGTAACAATCCTTCCGCTCTAACCTGCCTCCCCCTTTTAATTAACCTTATCAAATACTGTCTCTAACCTGCATAGTCTATAAGGTATCACAAACAGCTGATTGATTCCTTCGGCAGATCTTTTCTCCATTAAAAACCAAACCTAATGGGAATATTTTCTAGCTGGTATAAGTATGAGGAGATTAGGTATGAATCGCTCCGTTTCTCTGTGTCGCTCTCAATATATTTAATGGTGACTTTACGTTAGGATTATTTTACTTTATTTTACTTTCAGGCGTTTATTTGCTCCCAAGTAGCCAGAATGTTTTATGTGGGAACGTTCCAGCTCACAGGTGCTCAAACTTTCCCGAACTGTGACCCTATGGTACAACAGACAAAAGTTTTTGGACCCTCCACATCTAGCTGTAAAGAGAGGGAAGGTGGTCACCACACCTCTGGACCTGGTCACAGGCCCAGGTTGTGAACCCACACTTCAGTTCATTTCTACTTTTCATTCACAGTTATAGTTACACATGCCACCCCCACCATGTGACTGATCGGGGGCTTTTAGCACCTGGCAAGCCTAGTTTGTAGCAGCACAAGCCTTGTTTTCAATATGGAGGATAATTGGATGTACTCGCAATGGAACATGATGTTAGCTGAAATTGCAGTTTTCCCTGTTTTTTTCCTTTGTGTTTTCCAATCCAGATGACATCATAAAGCGCCACAGGAAAGGACAAACCAGCGCAAAGTTAGTAGGGGACAAACGAAGGCAGCAAGTGAAGAACAGGAATTCAGCATATGGAAATGGGAGACCTGGGTTCCGTACCTGGATGCAACGAAACCGGCAAGGTATGTAACTGCTAACGTGCAGCCGTAGGAAATAAGGAGATGTTTAGGATGGAAGGATGCCTGTGAAGCCAACCACACTGACTATCCTCTTTTGAATATACATTTGCACACCAAGAGATATCGTCCCAAACCTTTGCTTCTCTAATCCTGGACGGTTGTAATATCTACTTTTGCTCTCGGTAGCTTAGCAAAAAGGAATTTGTCTGTAACAATTGAAGATCCAGGCTCTTTCAAAGCATAAATTCATGCCTTTCTCCCCCTCCTTCCTTCCTCATGAATAACTAATTCAAAATGACTTAATATCAACTCTTCCCTTTTGAGTTTTGCATATTTTAATTATACTCTTCCTAATCCCCCGTTTTCCCAGAACACACTTAAATTACCCCTTAGGTTACCCTCTGATCGTTCAGTTATTGGAGTTAATTTATCATTTTGGTTGAACCCATTATTTTTAGGATGTGCCTTGAATAATAATGTGTGACCACACAATAATCTAAATTGGCTCTACTAGTTTTTATGCACAAAGCTCAAATGACTTCTTTTGTGCATCTTAGAATTTTTCCATCTGTTTTTACTGCTGTTAAACAAGTTTGCTGAAGGTTTTAGAGGATTATTCTGCTCTATCTTAAATATTTCTCTTCTCAATGCAAACAGTATGTAGTGTAGTATGAATACTGAGCATAGGTCGTGTTTGTGTTTGCCTTGTTCTTGGTACATTCTCAGTCAGCACAACGAGCAGCACTGAACTTGCTAAGGTTCAGAAGAAGTTACTCTTCATTTACCCTAGCAAATCGGACAACAAATTATTTAAGATTTTGATGGTCTTGTACCCTGAACCACCATTGTTCAGCCATTGACAACAGTGAACTCAGAGGTAAATAAGTCAAACTAAAGATTTTTGTGACATTCCCCAGGGTACAATCTGGCTTGCTGAACAGCGGTGTCCCCTCAATTTTCCAACCTGGGGTGCCTTTTACTCCGCTTTGCTGTGAGAACTACCACTCCTTGTCTGTTCACACACAGCCTCCAGCATGTAGATCACTCCCAGATGAATTCTAGGAGTGCTTCTAGCCAGCCATGCCTGAATTATATTGCAGAGCGACACCAGCAAACTCCCAGTCCCAGACTTGTTCCCGGAAATGTGTATCTTGTACTGCCCAGCTCCTTCCTCTGTGCAGTACCAGCTCCTAGAAAGTTCATCATTTCATTAACAGAAAATGATATGCACAAACCCTGTTGTCTCAAATGGAGGTTTCCAAATACCGCAATCCAAACATCCACTGGTTTAGATAAAACAATAAAACAAGTTTATTAACTACAGAAAGATAGATTTTAAGTGATTACAAGGAACGAGGCAAAGAAGTCAGAATTGGTTACAAAGAAATAAAAGGTAAAACGCAAACTAATATCTAACTTGATAAGCTAAGTGAACTTGAAGCAAAAAAGGTTTTTCTCACCACATGCTCACAGCAGTCTGGCTGAGTTCCTTCAGCCAGGACCCAGTTCAATGATGCTTCTTTTGTCTTTCAACCATTGTTGATGCCATGAGTAGAGATAAGGGGAAAGAGGCGGTTTGTGTCCTCTGTTCCTAATCTTTATATCTTTTCCTCGTCTTTGAGAATCATCTCCAGAAGGGGTTTGGGTGACAGCCAGTCTGTTCACACGGGAACCCCCATCTGTTCCATTGCCAAAATGTAAATTTCTTGCTTACACCCTTCTTCCTGCCAAAGAACAGCTGCTTAACCAGGTGATAGTCCATTTGATTATGCCGACACCATGCTGTGGTGCTGGCTAAACTTTTATGTCTGAGGAACTGATTTGGGCTGCTTCCCCAGATTTGGAATATGCCTTAGTAACATCATACAGGAGAATCTTATAACTTTACATACAACATTGCCACACAAATTTTACCGGGACAATAACGATCAGCAAATTATGAGTTTTCAAACGATACTTCACAAGGCATACTTTGTACAAAATGTATCATAGTTTTGTAAAAGTGGTGAAAAGAGGGATGCAATCTGTCACGATTTTACTGTAAAATTTTTAAAAAATTCCCTTATTCTTAATTTACATCATGGTTTTTACAAGCCTCAGCATTTTGCAGATTAAACTGCATTTAAGACTTGCTCCTGTAAGCTACAGAGCACCCTCTGCCCCTGCCGGAGTTGAAGTCAGTGGAAATTTAGGGTGCTCAGCATTGCCAAGAATTTGGCCTTCTACATTGAAAGGGTTTACTTCAATTCAATCACCCCTGAAATGCAGCCATTTCTGGGCTGAAGTGTGATAGTTCTTATCACAAGGACCCCAGCACTTTAGGGAGAGGGAATTAAGTCTCTGAATAAAGCAGCAAGGGATTTACACAGCTGACATGCAATTGCCTGTATTGGAATTTGGCCTAAAACTTGGTGACGATTGCTCCGGAGAGTCTGCAATGCCAAGCTGTTATTGGAGTTTCTGTGTTAAATCTTCTCCAAGAGGGACTGCCAAGCTCTGCTCTCCTGGGAGCTCCTCTCAGAACTCAGCCGGCCGGGGCAGAGGAGGCTCTTTGCCAGCATAGCTGTGCTCTGCACAAGCACAGTTCGGCGCGCCCCATGTCAGCACAGAGCAAGTCTCCTTATCAGCTGCATGCCCTACTGAGTCGATGAAGATCAGCTGTAACCAACGTTGCCCCACTACGTCAGAGGTGGGGTCTACAGCTTTTAAAATAGCAACATTCACACCGTGTTTTCCGGGTCAGACTCTCAGCTGCCGTAAATCCAGGGAGCGCCGTGGAAGCCAATGGAGCAGTGATGACTGACACTAGCTCTGGCTCAGGTCACTCGTGAGTGGAGGTTTTGCCATGTGAACTGACTGGCAGGAGCAGGATTTTTTGAGCCTGGCTCCTGTTAGTATTAATCCTTCCTGCTGCCCCAGTGAAATACAGTAAAACCTGCCAAGAGCAAAAGTGGTCGCTTGTAAGAGGTGGTCTCTCTTCAAAGATATGGTATTGCCACCCTTACTTCTGCACTGCTGCGGGCCAGGGGGCTACCGCCAGAGCTGGGCGCCCGGCCAGCAGCCACCGCTCTCCAGCTGCCCAGCTCTGAAGGCAGAGCGGAGATCGGCGGCTGCTGGCCGGGTGCCCAGCTCTCAAGGGAGTAAGAAAATGTGGTCACTGGTCACAGATGACAGTTGGTTGCTTTTCATAGCTTCTTCACCGTTAAATTATAGGGGGGAAAGTTCTGTGGCCTCTGCAGGTGGCTCCTGACAGGTGGGCTCTCTTCAGAGGTGGTTGCGAAGGCAGGATTTCTCCTGGCGGCAAGGAAATGCACCGTTGAGCCGGCTTTCTTCTCCCCCTGTGCAGAGCCGTGCTCGCCGGCTCGCCAGTCTGTGGGGAAAGTGGAGGGTGGGGAGCGTGACGGTGGTGTCTGGCAGCTGGGTGAGAGGGACAAAGAGAGAACAACCCAGACTTGGTGAGGAAGAAAAACAAGAAGGGGGCAGACAGAAACACCCCCATGGGGGCAGAACAAGGAGAGCAGGATGGGAGAATGGTTAACAACAGCTTGGGACTCCAGGAGAGAGAGCCTAGGACTGCCCATGAGTCGTCCTCTGTCAGCCACAGCGATAGGGGAATGTTCCAGGGAGCAGTGGAAGAAGAGGGTGAAAGGCATCTTCCTCCTTTAGATGCTGAACACGATTCCAGAGCGAATCCGTTTGTAAAGCTAATTTCCTGGAGGAAGGCCCCCCCACCCAGATTACCTAGATTCATCAAACCACTGCTTTCTATCCCCTTCTCTTCCCCCCTGCCCAGATGCACCAACTTCATTCATTCTGCAGTCACTGCTGCAGTGGAGTCTCCAGGATTCAGAGTGGCACAAAGAAAGCCATTCGCAGGGCACTACAACCAGAAGACATTATTGATCCTATAAAACGTATGAACAATGCTGCATATTCTTGGGCGCCATCTAGTGGCACCATGTCCATTGACTATCGACGCATAGCCAGTCCCCTCTTCTGTAGAGCACTTTCATAATAGCCAATACCCTCCTGGAGCTGTGCTTTAGTGCTTCACCGCTGTTAGGACCAAAGCATCCTAAATCTGCCCTTCCCTTCTTTCCCCTTCAAACTACTATATTCCCTCAACTAACTTGCCAACACTTGTCACCAGTTGGGGCTACAGCCTTCATCAGTACTCACTGTGGGCTGGTCTGTCTTCACTGCAATATAAGCCCAGGGTTAGTAGACCTCGAGTTAGCAGAGCCTGGGTTTGTTAGCCTAGGGCTTAGAATCATAGAGCCACAGGGTCATCTAGTCTAACCCGCTGTCAAGATGCAGGATTTATTGTGTCTAAATCATCCAAGACAGACGGCTCTGTCCAGCCTCCTTTTGAAAACTTCCAGTAAAGAAGGTCCCACAACCTACCGAGGCGTCTGTTCCATTGTCCTACTGTTCTTACAGTTAGGAAGGTTTTCCTGAGATTTAATCTAAATCTGCTCTGCTGGAGTTTGAACCCCTTGCCTCTTGTCCTGCCCTCTGTGGCAAGAGAGAACAACTTTTCTCCATCTTTCTCATGGCAGCCTTTCAAGTATCTGAAGATGGCTATCATATCTCCCCTGAATCTCCTCTTTTCCAAACTAAACATAGCCAGTTCCTTCGGCCTTTGCTCACATGGGTTGCATTCCATCCCTTTGAGCATCTTCGTCACTCGCCTCTAGATCCTTTCCAGTTTCTCTACATCCTTTTTAGACACTGGTGACCAAAACTGGACACAGTTCTCCAGCTGAGGCCTAACCAGCACCAAGTAGAGCGGTACTCTCCTGTGACTTGCATGTTAGGCCTCTGTTCATGCAACGTACAATTGCATTTGCTCTTTTTTGCAGCAACATCACATTGCTGAGGTTGTGATCCACCACAACTCCCAGATCCTTGTTAGCCATGCTGCTGCCAAGCCAGTTTTCCCCCATTCGGTATTTGTGCATTTGGTTTTTCTTCCCTAGGTGTAGCACTTTACATCTTGGCTATAGCCTAGTTTTCCAATTTATCAAGATCCCTCTGAATTTTATCTCTATCCTCCAAAGTGTTGGCAACACCCCCCTAGCTTTGTGTCATCTGCAAACTTCATCAGTATGCTCTCTCTAGCTACATCTAGGTCATTGATATTGATGTTAAACAACACCGGACCCAGAACAGATCCCTACGGAACCCCACTTGAGACCTCCCTCCAATCCAACATCATTCCATTATTTAAAAGAACAGGAGGACTTGTGGCACCTTAGAGACTAACAAATTTATTAGAGCATAAGCTTTCGTGGGCTGCAGCCCACTTCTTCGGATGCATATAATAGGATATACTATATGCATCCGATGAAGTGGGCTGTAGCCCATGAAAGCTTATGCTCAAATAAATGTGTTAGTCTCTAAGGTGCCACAAGTACTCCTGTTCTTTTTAATAATGGAATGATGTTGGATTGGAGGGAGGTCTCAAGTGGGGTTCCGTAGGGATCTGTTCTGGGTCCGGTGTTGTTTAACATCAATATCAATGACCTA